AATCAAAACCCCTGTGACATACTTCACAAAATTATAAAAATCCATCCTTAAATTCATATGGAGGCACAAAAAACCCCAGATAGCCAAAGCAACCCTGAGCGCAAAGTGCAACACTGGAGGTATTACTATACCAGATCTCAAAATATACTACAGAGCAATAGTCATAAAAGCAGCATGGTACCGGCACAAAAACAGACACATATATCAACGGAAGATCATTGAAGATCCAAACCTGAGTACATGCAACTTTAGCCACCTGATATTTGACAAAGGTGCCAAGAACACACAATGGAGGAATGACAGCATCTGAAAAACCACGGATAGCCAACGCAACCCTGAGTGCAAAGTGCAACACTGGAGGTATTACTATATCAGATCTCAAAATATACTACAGAGCCATAGTCATAGAAACAGCACGGTACTGGCACAAAAACAGACATATAGATCAATAGAACATCACTGAAGGTCCAAACCTGAGGACACACAATTTCAGTCACCAGGTATTTGACAAAGGTGCCAACAACACACAATGGAGGAAAGACAGCATCTTCAACAAATGGTGCTGGCAAAACGGGATCTCTGTACAGCAAAAGAAAAAAAATCAAAAAAGTGAAGAGAAAACCCACAGAATGGGGTTTAACATCCAAGTGGATCAAAGACCACTGAAACCTGAAACTAATAGAAGAAAATGCTGGCAGTAACTTATATGATATAGGTGATATAGGTGTAGGAAAGGATTTTCTAAATGGGACAGAAGTTGCTCAGGAATTAAGGTCAGCAATCAATAAGTGAGACCTCATTAAACTAAAAAGCGTCTGTACATCAAAAGAAACAAACAAGTAAGTGAAGAGAAAACCCACAGAAAGGGAGAAAATCTTCACCAGTGAAGAGAAAACCCACAGAATGGGGTTTAACATCCAGAATATATAAAGAGCTCAAAAAACAAAGAAGCAAGAAACAAAATGACCCAATTAAAAGATGGGCTCAAGCGTCTCCGAGGCATCGCCCTCAGCCAGCTGCCGCGTCCCGGCACCGCGCAGAAGAGGCACTCGAGCTTCTTCCGCGCGGCCTCTGCTGGGGCCAGGAGCGGGGACGCCGACAGCGACAGACCCCGGAGTCCAGTCAGTACGGTCCGGCCGTCGGAACCGCCATGACCCACTTCAACAAGGGCCCTTCCTATGGGCTGTCCGCCGAGATCAAGAACAAGATTGCATCCAAGTATGATCACCAGTCAGAGGAGGATCTGCGCAATTGGATAGAAGAGGTGATGGGCATGAGCATCAGCACCACCTTCCAGCTGGGCCTGAAGGATGGCATCATCCTGTGTGAACTCATAAACAAGATACAGCCAGGCTCTGTGAAGAAGGTCAACGAATCCTCCCTAAACTGGCCTCAGTTGGAGAACATTGGCAACTTTATTAAAGCTATTCAGGTTTATGGTATGAAACCACACAACATATTTGAAGCAAACGATCTTTTTGAGAATGGCAACATGACCCAGGTTCAGACTACACTGGTGGCTCTAGCAGGTCTGGCTAAAACAAAAGGATTCCATACGACTATTGACATCGGAGTCAAGTATGCAGAGAAACAAACAAGACATTTTGATGAAGGAAAATTAAAGGCTGGTCAAAGTGTAATTAGTTTGCAGATGGGAACCAACAAATGTGCCAGGCAGGCAGGCATGACAGCCTATGGGACTAGGAGGCATCTCTATGATCCCAAAATGCAAACCGACAAACCATTTGACCAGACCACGATTAGTCTGCAGATGGGTACCAACAAAGGAGCCAGCCAGGCTGGGATGTTAGCACCAGGTACCAGAAGAGACATCTATGATCAGAAGCTAACATTACAGCCAGTGGACAACTCGACCATTTCTCTACAGATGGGGACCAAAAAAGTTGCTTCCCAGAAAGCATTGAGTGTGTTTGGGCTTGGGCAGCAATTGTATGACCCTAAATACTGTGCTGCTCCCACAGAACCTGTCATTCACAACGGAAGCCAGGGCACAGGAACCAATGGGTCAGAAATCAGTGATAGTGATTATCAGGCAGAATACCCGGATGACTATCAGGGCGAGTACCCAGATGATGACCCCCGAGAATACCAGTATGGAGACCACCAAGGTATCGATTACTAGGTTAACAGGCAGGAGGAGCTCAGTATTTAGTTCATTGTTTGTATCCAGTGAGAACCAAGCTAGCCTTGAGTAATTTTTATCTCGTCTTCCTCAAACACTATTATGCTTATTGTACCTAAGAATTGCCTTACATACATTCCTTTTTTTCTTTTTTCTGCTTCTTCCCTAAAATAATAGTTGCCTTTTAGTGCTGTAATAATTAAATCCTACAGCATAACCAATAACTTGCAAATGAAGTAAAAAGGAATACTGTGAAAGGGGAGTTCTTGTATAGCCAATTCTTTTATGGAAGATCTATGCATTTTTTACAATCTTACAGTTAAACTGGTATTTTCAAACAATAGGAAACTTTTTGTGTGTCCTAAAATGTGCTCAATTTTGGAAATAGTTTTGTGGGCTTCTGAGAAGAATGGATTCTTTAGTGTTTGGATGAAATGCTCTGTAGGTGTGTTAGGGACATTTTCTTTATGATGTCATTTAATTCCTGTGTTTCTCTGTTTAATTGTTCTTTTCAGATTACCTGTGTATTTGTGAGAATGGGGTATTAAGGTCATCTACTATCACTGTGGCATGGTGAACCTATGGTTTATGCCTAATAGTATTTCTTTTATGAAATTGAATGCTATGTTTGGTATCTACATGTTAAGGATTATAATACTCTTCTGGTGGATTTTTCTCAAAAGAGATTTGGAATAATTGGTATTGCTTGTGAGATCATTTCATGTTATATAGGACATCACTAACTTGTGTTTAATATTCCCTTAGCTGCTCAATTCTCACAAATCCAACTGTCACTTGCCTGGACTGAAAGGTAGTGGTTATTTAAAAACCTTGGTCACCCTTAAAAATGTTTTATTACACTATGCTAACTTCTGAATGCTTTATAGATTTAGACCAACTCCTGAAACATACATAATAATAGCTAAAGAAAAAGGATTGAAAATATTTCCACACAGGATGCAGGGATCAGGCACAGCTGTGAAATTCTTGGGAATTTTATAGTTGGGTAAGTCATAGGTGATACCTAGCTTGATAATTGAGAAAATCCTATCAGAGCCTGTGCCCAGGAATGTGAAAACATCAACTGAGGAATTTAAACACAGAAGGCATCCTGCCTGGGTGACAAAAGGCACTCCCAGAAGCCATAGGCTACTAAATGAAAATCCCAGTGCCAGGGGAGAATTAACGCTCTCAGACTTTTGGCCACAGAGACCCTTGGGGACCCATAAATAATATATGTTATTTCCACTGCTGTTGATTAATACTGGATGGACCCTAGTCCTAAAAGCATTCCCTGTTCCTCCTAAAGAATACAGAGACCTCAAGCTGCAGCTGAGTGGAAGCCTCCTCCTTCTGGCTGGTATTTATCCTGCTGAAAGGTGTTATGTGGGTTGCTATTATGTAGAATTGTCACTGAGAGTCCCCACAGCAGAAAGAAGCTTTTCTGACCAAAGGTGAGAACAGCCAAGGTCTATGAGTATAAACATAAATATTTAGAAAGCATTTTGACAACATGATCATTTAGCAAAAGAACAATAACAGATTCTACCCTAGGGCCTATGACCTCCCTAGCCATGGGCTTTTGCCTAGGATTACAATAGCAACATGAATTCCCTCCTGTGGATCAGACCTTGAATTCAATCAGAAAATGATGAGCTACCCTGTAACAGTCATGCCACTATTGTACCAGTGAGTATATCTTGCCTGGCAGGTGAGTATTCCATCATGCGGGGTCCAGCATGTGTTAAGACTACTGATGTCTTTCTTCCTCAGCAGCCTGCATAACACCTTCTGGCACTATGAAAGCTAACCAGCAGGGAAGTCGTTTCCTGATCCGTTTGAGATTGATTTGTATGTGTTCTGCAGCCCAAATGTGTGGTGTCTTCAGCAATAGGATCTCACCATGTAGCTGAGGTAAATAAGCAAGGGCAATGGCAAAGGCTTGTGTCGTTCTGGAGACATTTCAGGTGACGCTGACTTTAATTCATATGGAGAAGCCCCATCAAAATACCATCTTAATGATAATACTGTACCAATGACATGGATGTCAATAGTTGACTATTGGATGAATAGATTGATACATCAAATATTCTGGAAACTTATATATCTGTCACAAACCAATGGCTGTAATATTATAATATTAAAACACAGAGATTCCTGTGATAGGTTTTCAAACATATTGAACTCAGGAATTGAACATACTGTTAACAAGATAGGCCATCTGTTTTCACCATTTACTAAATACAAATTTGACTATGTTCAAATATTACATGGTTTGACAGCAAGTCAGATATGTGGAAATCCTTTTTACTTTGTCATAAGTTCATCATAGCCCTCTTCAGCTCATTGTTTCTCAAAGTGTAAATAAATTGATTCAGCAGAAGGATCAGTCATCAGTGTGTAAGCCAATGACATCAGGTTCTTGGTGTCTTGTGAGTACCTGGCTTTGGGCTATAAATAAGTCATACTGGCTGTGCCACAGAAAAGGGTGACAGATGTGAGGTGAGAGGCACATGTGGAAAAGGACTTCTGTCTCCCGGTAGTGGGTGACATCTTCAGGATGGCAAAGAGGATGCGAATGTAAGACAGGAGGATCAACAGGAAGGGAACCATGCCAACCAGATGGTGCCTGTGAAGGTGTAGATTTCAAACAGGAAGATGTCTGCACATGCAAGTTCTAGCACAGGAGGAGTCTCACAGAAGAGATGATCAATTTCATTGGGACCACAAAAAGGAAAACCAATTATCAATATGGTTAACCCAGTAGCTGCCATGGTCCCTGAGACCCATGACTGCATAACTAACTTCACAAAAACCCTTTGGTTCATAACCACCAGGTAGGACAGGGAATGGCACATTGCAGCAAACTGGTGATAAACTAAGAGAGCCCCAAATGTGTGTGCTTGAGTTCAGGAAAGTTAGAAAAGTCCAAAAGGATGAACTTGACCACAGAGTTGTCATTCGGCACCTTCTTACCTTAACGGAGTTCTAGATGATTCTCAGGGGCGTACTGTGTGAGAATGAAGTCACGGTGCCATGGCTGCACTTACTCGAGGTATTCGCAGAGCATGACAGCAGAGACCATCATCACAAAAACATCAGCTGCAAATTTGGAGAACAGTTAAAAGCTTGTGTTAACCAAGCTTTCAAATGTAAATGGAGAAATAAATTCTGGCTTAGAAATATGGTCTGAAATATATAAAATACTGTCAATTTCTATTTCAAATTGAACAATATGAGGTTTGAAAACTAAAGTAAATGTATATTATATAAGTAACTACGTTGTATAATTCTACTTCTCCTATACCATTGCTACAGGTGTAACTTTCTTTTATTTAACTTTAGATAGATATAAAATTGAAGCCCACAAAGAAAGTGTCAAAAATAAATTTAAAGTGCTAGCTACAAAAATATGATAATAACCTAATGCTCTGATTTTTTAAAGTATATACATTTGTTAACAATATTTGTGACTTTCAAAATGAAGAATGGCTGAGTGGCTGTTTCAGATAAAGGTGTCAGCATTCTGTGGGGTCACACAGACAGTGGTCTATATTTAGTGACACCTATATAATGTTCAAATTGGTGTCAAGCTTATAAATTTCTACCCAGAGTTAGAACTGCCTGATTCTATTATAATTTTCTCAGAAGTGACATATTGAGGTTAAATGTCCAACGCTCATCCTTGTGACCATGATGACTTAAGCAAGCCCTGTTTAGGGTCATTGTGGAACGGTACTGAGAGTTTCCACTTGTTCTCCTCATCTCTCTCTTTACTTTCTCCAGTCTAGGGTTCATCCAGAAGTTCATAAAAACATTAATTTATCAGCAAGCGCTGACTACCCTTTTCTGGGCTCTGTATAGCCACTTCTGAAAGAGATGTATCTTTGCTCTGGAAACTGTTATTGAGTATGTTAAAGCTGTAATGAAATGCTTCTTCTAAAAATAAATATATAAAACAAACACATTAGAATCTAAAAATCAACAAAATCTAAGCATATTACATGAAGTAGCTATAACCCTGAATCACTACAATTCAAAAAACGTTATATTCTTATCTCCTACCACTGCTTTCCCCCTTTTTACCAACCAATATCCATATCATCATATATCAAAATGTAATCCGCTAGGGTATAACTTCTGAACAACAAGGATTGTTTTTGCTCCTGGCTTATATGCTCAATACCTTCAACACTTTATGGATCATAAGAAACATTAAGACAACAATTTTTTTTTATCTTTTTGAGACAACATCTCCTTGTAGCCCCAGCTGTCCTGGAACTCACTATGTAGACCAGGCTGGCCTTGAACTCACAGAGATCCGCCTGCCTCTGCCTCCCAAGTGCTGGGATTAAAGGCGTGCACCACCATGCCCAGCTAAGACAACATTTTTAGAATAAATAAATAAAATCTCTATCTTTAAGGAAAATGATCTCTAAAAGAAAAGTGAAGGCAGTACCTTTAAAAATGAGGAAACAATTGGTAAGTAACAAGATGTGGTTAGAAAACACAGTTTTGGAGACTGAGTCAGTAGCTCAGAACTCTCTCTGCAGCCATTCATAACTTTGA